CAGACAAAGGCCTTATTACTAAAATCTACACCTTATCTTCTTACAAATGATTGTTTGCTCATAGGGAATTATTAAGTCTTAACAGTCAAATCACTAAGAATCCTGGCCCAGCCAAGATAACACACACTCTATTATATAGGGTCAACTTTGTATTAGGTCAGAAACAAAGTTTTCTCGAAATGAAGGCTAAGCAGATTCCTGCAGAATAAAAGTGGGTAGTGGGCACGTCTTTCCAAGCAGCAAAATCATTGATTAAAAAATGCATGATATAAGAAACGTTTTTGTAGCTAAAGCATCTGATAAGGGACTGGAATATAATGATAAATCCATTTTGAGAGGCACGTTGGATAGAAAAGAAAACAAAATTTCTCAGGACCCCAAAAGAACCACCAAACTTGCTAGGAAGTCAATTCCTGATGAAGACAGCCTCCCATAAGCACAGCAGAAGTGTACCACACAAGGTTTTCAAGACTGAAATTTCAGAAGGAGATCACCTTTGTTTCGAGATACCTGTTGATGGGTTACATTGGCCAACTTTTTCTTAGTAGAGAAGCATATGTGTGTGTGTTTGTGTGTGTGTGTGTCATCTAGAAACTCTGTCTCCAGAAAAGAGTGGGGAATGACTAGAGTTTGAAGCAGCATAAAGGCATCCTCAAATTAGGTGTCAGAAATTTATTCAAAAGCCAAAAATAAAAACAAAAAACACTGCCATAGAGTCCATGCTGACTCACAGCGAAACTATAAGCAACACAAGGTGGATCTGCCCCTTTGAGTTTATGAGACTGTAACTCTTGACAGGAGTAAAAAGATTCCTCTTTGTCCCTTAAGAGTGGCTGGTGGTTTTGAACTGCTGACATTGAGATTAGCAGCCCAACGTGTAACCCCCATGCCCCCACAGTCCCTAACTCAAAAGCCAAAGTGCATATTTACAAATTATTACAGTAATCCAGAAAATAAATGCTTGTGATAATGGTCAAAACTCCAAAACAAAACAAAACAAAAACACTCTCATATTCATGGGCAATAAGTTGATTCTAACTCAAAACAAACTATACGGCAAAGTAGACCTGCCCATGTGGGTTTCTAAGGCTAAGAATCTTTATGGGATCAGAGAGCCTCATTCTTCTCTTGTGGAGCATCTGGTGGCTTTTGAACTGTTGACTTTGAGGGTTTTCAGCCCACCTCCTAACTTACAATGCCATCAAGGTTTTTATGTGGCAATGATAAGTGAGTGACAAAAACATTGTAGAGGTAAGAATGTTTAGAATCTAAAAAGCCAGAAAATAATAGTGAGAAAAATAATCAAATTCAGCATTGTGGTGGAGAGTGCCTGAGATAGTGAGAAGATGGGTGATGAGTTCAGAATTGGTTGTATTGTACCATATTCCAGCAGGAAATGCCCAGTACAGTTTGAGATAATAAAAAAATCTGGCTTGGTGTTTTAGTTAAAAAGTGAGCCAACATTCAAATATAAATCATAAAGACCCAAGTACTAAGTCTTAAACAGGACAAAATCCTCACAAACGGCCCAATAGGTAACATCATGATAAATGAAGAAAGGGTTGAAGTTGTCAAAGTTTTTGTCTTGCTTAGATCTACAAGCAATGCTTATGGAAGCAGAAATCAAGAGCTAAAAAGACATGTTGCATTAGGGAAATCTACTGAGCAAGATCTCTTTAGATTATTGAAAAGCAAGGAGGTGACTTTGAGGACTAAGGTGCACTGGTATTTCCCATTGCTTAATAATCATGTGGAAGTTAGACATTGAAAGTGGAAGAATATAGAATCGTTGATGCATTTGAACGCAGGTAATAAGGAAGAATATTGAAAGTACCATGGACTGCTAAAATGATAAGCAAATCTGGCTTGGAAGAAGTAAATACTGGGTTCTCCATATTGTCAGGAGAGATATAATGCTTGGTAATGCTGAGAGGCAGAGAAAAAGAAGGCCATCAATGAGATGGATTGACACAGTGGCTGCATCAATGGGTTCAGGCTTAGGAACAATTGTAAGAATGGTACAGGACCTTGCAATGTTTCGTTCTGTTGTGCATAGGGTGGGTATGGTCCAGAACTGACTCGATAGTACATAACCACAACGACGACCAACAGGACAAAGACAAAACTTGCACATTAATGTGCCCATCAGCATGAGGCCATAATGGTTTTCAAGGATTCATGGTGACTCGGCTACTTAAATAGGACATGGAAAACAAAGGGAACCGTCACACAATCATGATTGGCTATAGAGTATATGGGAAGTCAAAACTACAGAAGCAGGAGATCGACCATGAATGGGAAAGGCACAAGATTGCAAGTTAGAAAACTCACAAGATTGTGTCAGGTCCCTGCTCCACCCCTGCAACCCCGCTCCTCCTCACCAACTTAGTTCAGGTATGACGCATAACCATGGACTCTAATACCCTCCTATCTATCAAGGGCTCATCCAGGAAACTTCTTACGTTCAAGATTGCCGTTCCTTGGGCTGGTTGGACCAGGAACTCTGGGGTCGTGGATGTTACACATTGGGCTACTAACCCAAAGATCAACAGTTCGAAACCACCAACTGTTTTGTGGGCTAAAGACAAGGCTTTCAACTGCTGCAAACAGTTACGGTCTCAGAAACTCTCAGGAGCAGTTTGTACCTGCCCTGTATGGTTCCATGAGTCAGAATTGACTCAAAGGCACTGAGTTTTTTGGTTTGATGTGTTGTTGTTAGCAGTGGTAGCGGTGGGTGGGTGGGGCAGCTGCAGCAATCTACTTTCAAATCCACTCTGCCTGAAGGTCAAGCTTTGTACATTTTTAGCCAATAGTCAGAAAGAACTCAATGGAGGCCCACACAATTTGTGAAGACTCAAAATGGATTCAGGGCTCCCAGTCTAAGCCATAAACTTCCACAAACCTACTGCTCAGAATTTAAGCTCTAATACAACGTAGAAAAGAACTATGATTCAACCCTTGTATAATAGTCATTATTCATTGGGCTGCTAATTACAAGGTCAGCAGTTAGAAACCACCAGTCACACCATTGGGGCTTTCTTATTCCATAAAGAGGCACAGTCTTGGGAACCATAGGGACAGTTCTACCCTATCCTATAGGATTTCTATAGGATTTTCCAGGATCGCAGTGAGTTGGGTTTCTAGGGTTAGGATACAAACACTGGTGACATCAAGTTGGTTCTGATTTATTGCAAACCCATGTGTGTCAGATCAGAACTGTCATCTGTAGGCTCTTTCACGGATTAAGGGGGTAAAAGGGCCTGCTGTTCATCAAAATGCTAGAAATATAACATAATTTAAGATTTTGTGTGTTGGAAATCCAAAACTAAAGCCCCCTCCCTTCCTTTTAAGCGTAATAAGTAGGGATATTCTGACTCAGGAAGGTGGTAAGTGAGGTCCTTAAAATGAGTATGGAGGCACAAAGCATCCCTAATTTAGATACGCAGTGGAGCATAACATTTCCTGAGATGAAGGCCTGGTAACCCCTGGAAAAAATGTAGGAAACAATTGTTTCCTGTGATTATTGCAACATCTGCTCATTGTTTCATCTGAATGATCCCCCGCCCCCCCCTCCCCACACACACACAGAGTTTAGGGGATTGATTTGCTTGATTTCCCCTAGATTTTTGAAACAGTTTAGAAGTAGCACACCACACCATTTCCTTTCTGTCTCATCCTTACAAAATTAACTTTTTTTTTATTTTTTTAATCAGCCTGATTTTTGTCTTTGACTGAAACGGTGACCGGTAACCCTGGGCACTTGTTCACGGCTACAGCTCCTCTTTGCTGAGTAGATTGCCAGGACGTTCTCATGGGGTTGCTGTGGGTCCAATTGCAATCGATACGTTAGCAGCTGAGCATGTTAACTGTTTGCACCACCTAGGGACATCAGAGTATAAAAAGGACACTAATTCTAGCCCAGTGGAATAGAGAACATTTAGGTAAGGCAACTCCCTTCTCTTCCCACTCTCAGCATATAAATTATAAAAAGAACATTTATAAACATTTTTTTTCTTTTCTCATGAACACATTTTGATTGTAGAGGTAGAAGTAATGAACGAGTGACTTCAGATGCCTGGTGTACTGGCATAATGAGCATCAGGTAAAACCATTTGTACAAGTCCATGGAAATGAAGGTAGAGTAAGTCACTGGATTTCACCTTGTAGACGATGGGTTCATTGTCAAACTGCACCTGGCCACTCTAAATGTTATCCTTCATTTTTCTTGCTCACAGGCTCTCTCCAACCAACACACCTTCCCACGCTCGAAAAGCCTCCCTGTGAGTCAAAGGCCACTTCACTGCTCTCCTTCAAACTTGCCAAGAAGGAGAATACACCATGCTGACCCAACCCGTCTCTAGTCTCTATCCCCAAGTCTACCTGTGGAGTCAGCACTACTCTTCCCATCCTCGGAGTAGTCCGACAGGCTGCACTTCCTAATAAAACCTATTAGTTGATACCTGCATTTCAGCTCAGTTCCTTTTCTGTCAGTAGGATATTTTTTTTAAACCTTAACCCTAACCTTACCCCTGACCCTGACCCTAAGCCTAACCCTAACCCTAGTCAGTAGGATTTTACCACAGAATTATTTTTAGCTTAAAAAAAAAAAAAAAAAACCCTCAACTCCACTCTAGGCACTGGCTTGCCTGTCAACAGTGATCTGCATTTTCTTGTGAGATTGAGAAAATAGATAAGCATGAATTAGTTTAAGTATTTTTTGGTCCACGGCCACTATGGTTAAGTCATTCAACAATTCACTCAACAATGTTATAAGCCAAGAATTGGTTTACAAATGTAGGATTCAGTTTCAGTGTCTGGGATATGAAAATCTAGTACTCAGCTAGAAAATCATCTTTAAGGAAAATAAATGTCTCTTAACTGGGTGCTAAATACAGTCATGCTTAAGTTATTACTAAGGATATTAATAAGCATGATGGGAAATCAAGGGTTAGTCTCAAATAACTAAGAGACCCATTGCTTTCAAAGAGACAAAAATTAGTTTAATTAGCATTTCTTTCATTTTGAAACTTTGTCTGGAAAAATTTGAACGGTATATTTGTCCACTTTCTCTCTTTTAGTGTAGTGCTGTCCCTCAGAGGCCCCGTTTTGAGAGGTGGTGAATGACTCTCATGTGGTTTTCCTTGAAATGGCTGGTGATTTTTATTTTTTATAAATTCAATCCAGGAGACCCCTGGAGGCAAAGGGTGATGACTAAGTACTTTACTGAACGTACAACCTGTAGATATAGTGGCATCTTTGAGATTAGGGGATGAGGAGGGTAAAGGAGAGGAGGAGGAGGAAGAAGAGGAGGAACAGGATGAGGAAGAGGAAGAAGAGGATGGAATCTGGGATTTTAGCTGAGAATTGTTACTTTTTTTCACATGAAGGAGCCAGTCGATAGCCTGGGGCTGTTGATTTATAACTTTGTTTTGGGCAGGTACAGTCAAGCAATCTTTCTTCATGTTAGGTCCCGGGGTGCGATTAGGTGCAGAGGTGAGGGAAATCTGTGATCTATTCCCCATCTCAGAGAGATTATCTTCAGCGACTTGATCAGGCTGCTCTTCTTCCGCAGGAGAAGATGAGCAAGTGATCTTCGGTAGAGAAAGAACAGAAAAGAGTTTTATCTTTATTTTGCCCTCCGAATTGGACTCCGGTGTTGGTATGACCAACAGTGTTGCAACTCGTGGATCTGTCCTTCCCGTGAGATGGTTACAATGGACCTTGATGCAGGAAGCACAAAGTAAACAAACCATGTAACTCGATGAAATACGGGGACCTGGACGAGGATTTGGTCTTCCCCTCATCCTTCGAAAGAGAATCTGCCTAGAGAGATCCCTCTGAATTCTGGTCTTGGGGATAGAATTGATAATTTTATTGACCACATCATCAGGGACCGTTCCACCTTTAACAATGCAGGGTCGAATATGATCTAAAGTCCACGACTGTTCTTTCTTTGATTCTCTGTCTGTACAAAAGCGATAACTTTTTTTATTAAGGAGTTTGGAGATGAACTGTTGAAACAGCCCTGTCCTCCACGCAGTGCCCAGAGAGGGATGGTAATTGACCCAAGACATTTGTTTGGGTTGCTGTGAGAGGGAGTCTTGACTCTCTATTTGGCACTTGTTGTCGAGGTCTTCTGAAGCTTGGAATGACAAACTGGAGATCTCAGGCTGTGGTAGTCAAAATCAAGTGTTAGTATTGTCTGAGATTTGGGTTGGAACAACAGCAAACTCTGAGTCTGGTGGGCAGAATGTGGTAATCTTTTTTTTTTTTTTTTACAAGATTTTGAGTTGGGCGATGGTAAGCTCAGACCAGTGGAATTAGCATTCAATGTAGGTGTTTTCTGAGCTCTGCAGTCAGGTATTATAGTGTTTGGCATCATTTGCTGGGGTTCCAATAAAGAGAATGACCCCCAAAAGTCATATTTTTGAGGTCTGGGGTTGAGTAATGGTAAGCTCAGATACCTCTGGATGTGTTTGAATAAAGATACCCAAATACATTTCAATGATATTTTTTGAGGCTTGACTTGAGGAAATGCTGAGCTACAGACTGATTGGGCCTCCAAAAAGATGATGTCCAAAAGATACCTGTGGAAGATGTTTCTTGATGTTGGAGAAGGTATAGTGATGATTCAAAATTCTTTAATCAGACTTCAGTGTAGGTGATGACCAGCAAATGTCCTGGGAAGATATATTCCAAGATTTAGGGAGTGGGAATGGTGGATTTAGGGTTATTTGATTAGGCTCCAGTGATGATGGTGATAATCTGAGGTCAAGCAAAGATGTCGTCTGAAGTTTGGGGTAAGAAAAGGGTGACCTCAAGATTCTATGATTAGGTCCCAGTGAAGGGGTTCTCCATTCGCGGTCTAGTAATGGTGTACTTTGATGTTTGAGATTGGATAGTGATTTAAGAACTCTGGTACAGAATGTTTGTAAAGGTTTGGTCTGAGACATGTGAAAGGGAGATATTGAACAGCTCTGGACCTTCTGATTGGAGTCTAGTGGCAACACGACTGATTGGTTGCTATATGATTCCATTCTGGTCACAGGTTGGGCATTAATTTGATTTCGTTTATCATGTACTAGTATGTACTAGTGTGTCAATGGATTGGTTGTGGCCAGTTGGTAAAAAATGTATAATGGCATAAAATGTTGACCATAATATGCTAATGGAACCATCATGTGCTAGTGGTAGGGGCCTTTTTTTGAAAACAGTTGTTTTGTGGGAATGTTTAGAAACATTTTTGGTTTTTTACCAGGCTTTCACAGAGAAAGGGCACTTTTGAGTTAATGTTTTTTAGTAGCTTTAAGCTTTTAACGTACTTGTAACTTCCCGGTCGATTCTCAAATATTTTAGAATGTGTCTGACTTGAGATACAGACAGGGTTTGCAAACGTATTTCACTGTTTGTGGGTTCTCTTCTATCTTCTCTTTTGTTTCCTGCAGTTTTGTTTTGTTTTCTCTTTGAAGGACTAATACCTGTCAACAAAACATTGAAGAAAGTCAGAAGAGATCCTGATAGGAATAGCAATTTTCTCAATTTGCTGCAATACACAGATCAAATCTTAATGCCAAATCCTGATTGCTCCGTGTGTAACTTTGGAATCAAACCCTCTAATCCCTTATTCCAGTTTGTAAAACAGATAACTAGGATATTTAAATTGTCTCACTTTTGTCTAAATAAAATAATAAATATATATTGTGTAGCAGTTCCCAGTATGTAATCGTTGCTCAGTAAAAGATCGTAGCTATATCTGATATTCTTTTATATTAAAAACCTATGATAAATGTATTGCATAAAACTAAATAACCTTAAATAGAGAAAAGTGAAACACAGGCTCTCAAAGTTGGTTTTTAATTTGTATTAAGTTCTTATCTTTAGAATATTTTAGTTCCTTTTGAAAAGTCTAATTATAATTAAAATTTTGTTATATTTTGAGTTCTAGCCTTATTTGTCACCAATGCAACTTAAAAATATATATTCTACTTCCTTTTAAAACATCTGTTTTATTTGATGCCCACTTTTTCCCTCCTGCCCTGACCTCATTCTCTTATTTCCTTCTGGGCATTCACTGCATTCCTCCCCCTTCCCCACCTCTACCTAATATACCCCTCCAAAACATGTGCATCGTCCTCTTTCCATTGTATTTCTACAAGATCATAGTAGTTTTCTTTATAATTTAATATATATCTTATTGATATCTAAATTCGTTTGTTTTCAAGTGTTGAGTCATTCTTGTGGAATCCCTGACATGTCATACTGTATGGTAAAATGTATACTATATAATTCCACAAGAATGACGCAACACTTGGAAACAAATGCATTAAGATACTCAATAAGATTTATATTAAAATTTGAAGATAAGTAATATGTTCATGTAGAAATCCAAGGGAAAGAGGGCTGAACATACCTGTGGGAGGTCTATCATTAGGTGGGAGTAGGGGAGGGGAACAATTCATTGAAACCTGGAAGGAAATAGAATAGGTGTGTAAGTTGGGGCACAAAGACAACAAAATATAGAATATCCATAAATCATAAATGTATCCCTATTTCTGGAGAAATTATTTCTCATTTTTTATCTTCATTCTCAAATTCTAATACCTACTCATCTAATTCAAACTCTGAAATTATATTGAACAGCTTCACCTTCCAAAACCATTTAGTTACCAAGATTTATTTCCTTTATATCATATAGCTCTATTCATATTTTCAAGATCAGTACCGCTTTGCCAAATTATACAGTAGGCACATCTCAGTTATGCTATTATATTAACCTATGTGTATTTTTCTTCCCAATCTCACCCTCTTTCTTTGTCTCTCAGTAGAGCATTATCTTTGTATTTACTTAGTTGTAATTTAACAAAATCAAGAGATATCATAGGATCAAGAATCAAAGATTCTAAAGAAAGGGACCCAAGGTGCATTGATGATATTAGCCCAAAACAAGGAAACAGGATTGATGTACTAGAGATTAAAAATGCTCAACAAGCTTATGAAGCACTGAAGACACTCATTCATCTGTGCCAAGAATTTAGGAAGAAAGCTACCTGGTAAAGTGACTTAATGAGATCCATATTTGTACCTATTCCAAAGAATAGATACCCATTAGAATGTGCAAATTATAGAACAATACCATATACAAATGCAAATAAAATTTTGTTGAAGATTTTTGAACAATGTTTGTGACAATGTATTTACAGGGAGCTGCCACAAATTATGGCCTGTTTCAGAGGAAGATGTGTGTGGTAGTCACCTAATCTGGTGTCAGTTTAAGGATTAAGAGTGTAGGGGTGGAGTCTAGGCTGTCAATCTGGAGACAGCCAATGAGACTTCTATGTGGGCATGGCCTTCTCCTGAGAATTCTGGAAAATCTGGTACTTCCTCCTTGGAGGCGGAAGACATTTCTCTCTCTCTCTGCCACTCCCTGGGTGATATTTGCAGAAGACAAGCCACATGGATGCAACCAGACTTCTGAAGCCAGAGAAGCCACAGAGAGACCCCTGCCAGCGCTGAGATGCTTGCAACACCACTGGACCCAAAGACTTTCTACCCACTGGCTTGTGATCATCCGGCATTTTGCTTAATTGCATGTGTTTCATGAGTCAGAAGAGGATTTTATAGATTGATATCAGACATATGGGCTAATATCAGACTTATGGCCTTGGACTGGACTGGGTTGGGATGTTTTCTTAATGTACAATTGCTCTTGTATATAAACCTCTTCCTTATACACACATGCATGTCTATGAATTTGTTTCTATAGTCCTTTCAGACTAACACATTGAACAAGGGATATCAAAGGATGTCAGATGGATCTTGGCTCAAAGAAGAAAATACCAGAAAGTTATTTACCTGTGCTTCATTGACTATGCAAAGGCATTTAACTGTGTGAAACATTAAAAAAAAAAACCTATGTATTTTCTCAATCATAATATGAATTTCAGGATACCTTATACTTCTCTTGCTGAACCTGTACATGGATCAAGAGGCTGTTGGGCAAGCAGAACAAGAGAGTACTGCATGGTTTAAAATCAAGAATGGTGTGTCAGGGCTGTCTCCTCTCTTCATACTTAATAAAACTGTACTCAAAACTAATAACCAGAGGAGTCAGATTACACGAAGAAGAATGCGCCATCAGCATCGGAGGAAGTCCGTGACCTTCAGATGTCACACACTTACCTCCTAAAAGTGCAAAGGACTGGAAGCCCTGGTTGAAAAAGATTGTGGGTTGTAAAGAAACCAAAGTCCTCACAACTGGATCAACAGGCAACATGATATCAATGGATAAAGGATTGAAGTTGTAAAGCATTTCATCTTGGGTTGGGTCCACTATCAATGCTTGTGGAAGCAGCCGTCACAAAAATCACATAATTTATTGAATCGGGTAAATATTCTGCACAAGACTTATTTAAAATGTTGAAAATAAGGATGCTACTTTGAGGACTATGATACATTGATTCTAAACCATAGTATTTACAAGTGTCTCATATGAATGTGAAAGTTGGATGTTGAATAAGGAAGACCAAAGAAGAATTGATGCATTTGAATTATGGTGCTGGCCATGAATATTTAAAGTACCACTGATGGCTCAGGGAACAAACAAGGCTATCTTGGAAAATGTACAGCCATAATGCTGCTTAAAAACAATGATTTCCAGAATTCATCTAATGCACTTTGGGCACATTATTAAGAGGGACCAGTGTCTGGAAAAGGACATCGTGCTTGGTAAAGTAGTTGTCCTTGTTGTTGTTAGGTGTCAACCAGTATGTTCCAAACTACAGTGATCAGAAGAATGAACAGAAAGAACATAGCTCAGTCTTGCACTATCCTCTCAATTGTTCCTATCCTTGAGCTCATGGATGCAGGCAGGGTGTCAATTCATCTCCTTTAAGGCCTTCCTCTCCTTTGCTGCCCCTCCACTTTACCAGACATAAAGAACTTCTCCAGAGACTGGTCTCTGCTGACAATACGTCCAAAATATGTAAGATGAAGTCTTGCTATTAGTGGTAATTACATAATCAATGGCACTGTGGTAGTGTCAACTTGAGGGTATTAAAAGTGAGGAGATGGACTCTAGCCTATCAATCATGTCACAGCCTGATGATGCCTCCTTGTCGGCATGGCCTTCTCATGAGGATTCTGGGAACTTTCTCTCTCTCTCTCTCTCTGCTTCCGTTTGTTGCTGAGGGAGCCACACTCAGAGAGCTGGAGGACCCACACGGAGACACACGGAGATGCTTCTACCACCACTAGATTCACAAGACTTTTAACCAGCCTGTTATCTTCCTGCATCGTTGCATCTTTCCTTGGCATCATTGCATGTGTTTCATAAGTCTGAGGAGAATGTATAGACTAGTATTAGACATATGGGCTGATACAGGACTTATGGACTTGGTTTGGACTAGGCTACAATGTTTTCTTACTATACAATTACTCTGTGTCTCTGGATTTGTTTCTCTTGTCAACACAGACATCCTTGCCCCACAGGAACGCCGTCCTTGCCCCACAGGAACACTCTGGCCATACTTCTGACAAGACAGAATTGTTTGTCCAAGCAGTCCATGCTACTTGCAACATTCTTATCCAGCACTACAGTTCAAATGCTTTGAGTCTTCTTCTGTCTTCTTTATTCAATATTGAACTTTCATAAGCATCTGAGACAATTGAAAATACTATGGCATATGTAGGAGCACCTTAATCCATAAAATAGCATCCTTGCTTTTCAATACTCTAAAGAGCTCTTGTGCCCAAGATTTACCTAATGCAACATGTTTTTTGATCGCTTGACTGCTGCTTCCATGAGCATTAATTGTGGATCAGAGCAAGATAAAATCCTTGGCAATTTCAATCTTTTATCCATTTATCATAATATTTCTGGCCATTTGTGAAGATTTGGGACTTCTTTTCAATGGATTTGAATTCAAAATGAATGTTCCCATCTTCGATCCTTATCAGCCCTCTTCATTTTCAGCAACTAAGGTCGTGTCATCTGCATACGGAAGGTTGTTAAAAGGTTCCTCTGATTCTGATGCAATTTTCATCTTGATATACTCCAGCATCTCTGATTGTTTACTCAGCCTACATACGCATTGAATAAATGTGGTGACAATATAACCCTGCACACACATTTCCTGAATTTAAACCATGCAGCATTCCCTTGTTTTATTCAAAAAATGCC